TATCTGCAGAGCAGCACATTGTAAACAAAGTTTTTAATCTACGTGGAAGTAGAAGGACCTACTTCTGGACACTCTGAGGGGATGGTATCTATTTCTCTGCTGCCATGAATGACATCTGGGAAACATTATTGCTTTTCCTGTTTTTCTCCTTGGTAAAGAAACAAAAAACCAAGAATCAAAGCAATTGAAAGGATGCTAAAGATCATTAAATTCAGCAGATTCATGTACAGAACAAATAAAGTTTGAATATTTTTGTATTTCATGGGAAATGTTGAATCCTGGTGAGTCATGTAGTTAAAGCATACTTTGGATGCAGAATAAGGAGCATGATCCTCTCTCTTCTCTCCTTCCAATCCTAAACTCATCTCTGGCAACAGAACTCACCTTTCCCATCCTTGAAAAGCACTGCTGCTTTTAACCCAATTGAGGTGTAATTTGGAAAAAGGACCCATGTTCTCATAACCCACCTTCCTCCCTCTCTTGTGATGCTCAGAGTTTGTCTGCTGGGATTCTGGTATCCTGGCAGCTTTGGTTCCTGCATTATTTTCACACTAATACATGTCAAAGCATAACTGGTTATATAATATGGGAAATAATGGGAAAACTTTCAGCTGACACAAGAGCATGTTGGTTTGATCTGCTGAAGCCAGAGTACCTGTGCACAGACAGCTTGGGGACCTCCATCCGCTCCCCCCGGCACATCTCTCTGGATAAACACTGGGAGCTGCAATGGCAAGTGCTCATCCTCATGCTTGATTTTGAGCTCTGTATGTCACTCAGCAGGTGCCATTCCCTCAACTACTGCTCTGGTCTCCCCTCTTCAAGTGTTTTGTAGTAAAGTCATACAAGAGGTTTCCTCAAATACTTCATCATCCTTGGTAGAAAAGGAGCATCAAGTTCCCCAAGATGCCTTGAGAACAACCCTCCCCTCTCTCTGCTCTTTCTCCTCTTAAATGCACATACATCTCTTGTAGGCCTGAAGGCAAAAGCTCTTAAAAGGAAAGAAAAAGAAGATATTTCACTGCCACAAGGGATGAAACAATGGAAAACCATTGGAGCAGCTGGTCTCTGGTCCTAGAGCATCCATTACTGCTGTGGCTGGTGGCACTATTCCTCTTGTTCCCCTCAAGGTAGCTCCTGCACTAGGGCACTGGATGTTCCCTGGCATTGTACTCTGAGTTTGATGAAGTAGAAACCATCTTCACTGTGGCAGGAACATTGCTTACTACAAGCAAAACAATAGTTGTCATCCTCTCTCCTCCCTGCTTCGTGCCATGCTTCATTTTGGTTTACATTTAAAGAAACCAAAACCAGTCTGTCGTTTCAGCAGTTTCCCCAAGCCCTTGGATGTGCTATTTGTAACTCTTGCAAGCTCGGTGCAGGGTGTAGAGTTAGAAAAATAACTCCTTGGATGTGAGTCTGGGGAATTTTTTTCCTCTCAGAGCATGTAGAAGACTTGTCAATACTGATGAGGCACACAGCAAGTCAGAGAGAAGCCCCTTGCAAGCTGAAAACCAGCATTGCAGGAATGAGTGAAATTGCAGAAATGTGAGTCTGGCACATACATGTTGCAGCACTTTTTGTTGGTCTGGTAAATAAAAGGCAGTGAAAACAGGAAAATCTGAATATTTTTAAAACAGCATGTTAGGATCCTTACACTGTGGTTTCTCTGCCCAGTTTAGGGCAAGAAATAAGAGTATTTGGTGAAGTCCTACGTGCAGGAAGGGGCTGGGTGAGACCAAATGTGCCCCCCCACGTTCCACGTGCATCTGGGAGCAAGGCTGCAAGAAAGGGCTGAGAGACGGGCACGTGGGAAGAAAGGGTGATTTAAAAGCTCTTCAGGTCAGAAACAGGGTAAAGTAACCACAGATTACTAAAACAGATGAAGATTTATAGAAATTGTCAAAGGAATGCTGTGCCCTTGGCAAGCGATGAGAAAGAAAAAAACAACAAAACCCCTGAAAGGTGGCTGAGCAAAAGCAGTTAAATGAAAACCATCTTTGTGACCCAGTCTGAGGAGGAAAACAGCTGGCAGGGGCTGCAGAGCCTCGTGCAGCCCGGGCTGGGGCAGCCTGGAAGCAGCCCCAGTGCTTTGGCTCCTGCCGGTGTGCAGAGCCCAAGTCACTGCTCTGAACAGCACAGCATGGGCATGGAGAGAGGAGGAAGGAGAAAAAGGAATTTTCTCAAGCTGCCCCAGTCGTGCCTCAGCTCTGCTCTGGAGGAAATGGACTAAAGCTGCAACTAATTTGGAAATAGCAAAAGGGGAAGTGTATCCTAGAGAATTTACAAGAATGGACTGAGCTGGGTTTCAGGGATTGAGAAGCATTCACTTTTAATAAATTATTAAATGTTATTAAGAAATAATATTGATAAATTATACCTAATTTATAAATACTTACATAATATTCTATTTTTCTACTAACAGAAGAATACAACCAGTTTCTCATACATGACCCCCAATTTTTGCCTAATTAATAAGCTATCCAGAAGCTGTTCATTTCTCAGATCAGAGTGGGTTAAAGGTGTCTACACTGACCTACAAAATGATGGAACTCAGATTGAGAAAAAAACAACAGAAATCAGATTTTCTTGAAGTAATTTGAAAGGAATCTTTGCTACCAATAGCCTCTTTGGAGATATAAAAGCATATTTCCTCATATTAGTGTATTCACCTTGTTTCTAGAATAAGTGTTTAATGCAAGGTTGAAAATTTGGGAAGGAATGGAACAGCCAAAAAGCAGCTTTTTTTTACAGGTGAATAAAAAAAAAGGAGAAGCAGTAATCTACCATTTCTGAATTCTTGTAGGACAGAAGAAACAGAAAAATACCAGCTCCACTCCTCAAATAAAGTAATTTTTGTCCTCAATATACCTGTTAACTTGTTAACTTCAAAGACAGGGTAGATGAGAAGAAGAGGATTGTCTGTGCATGTGGTGGTGGAAATATGAACAGGATCTGCAATGGCTGGGGAAGGGAGAGTGGAAATCCCTTTAGCTCTGCTGGTAAATTAACCCCTGTTTTGTGCTTTGAAACATGTATCTTCATTCTTTATTATTTCAGTATGGCTTACCAACTTTTATCTCACCCCCAAAAAATAATATATTTTAAATTCATTTTCATTGAATTCTCATTCTGATTACACAACTTGGTAGGCATTATTAGTTTGAAGAGTCTTTTTTAATATAAAATAGATGGTAATGAAACATTGGTGCTCCCTGAAGCAAGCATAAAAGACAAGCAAGTTTAAAGTGTAGTTCTCAAATGGGCATCACAAATACAACAAGTAGTGAATTTAAAATTAAGACTAAAATTGCTTGCTGGTTTCTGTCTTTTGAGAACTTTGTTTCTTAAAAAAAAAAAAACCAAACCAAACCCAAACACCCCCCTCCCCCCCAAAAAAACCCCAAACTAAACCAAAAAAACCCACCCCAAAAAAACCAACCCCAAAACCAGACCAAAGAAATTGAAACAAAAAATTTCAAAAAACTGGACTGAAGACAAGTCCTCCAGCTACTGATTAACTTCATGCCAGTGGACTGGCCTTGTTGCCCCAGATGTTGAAGCACTGAATCACTGCTGCTGGATCCAGCTGCTGGATTTCAAGATCCATCTTTACATTGAAACATCCCAAAAGGGCTGTTCAGCCTCTGAGCACCCCGGGGATGCTGTATCTCCACAGCTTGGCCTTGGCCATCACAGCAGGAAGGCAAAGCTGCTGCGTTGCTCATGCTAAGATGAAAAGAGGAAAGAGCAAGTTCATACAAACATTTCCATTCTCAGCTCTCTAGACTTTATTTTTGCAGTTTAACTTATAGCAAGCCTTCCAAACACATTGCAAGCCCAGAACATGTGGCAAACGTTCATTTCAGGTCCATTTTCCAATAAGATGGAGCTGGTTTGTATTTGGGGCATGTGCTTTTGATGCTCCTACTTGGAGTCGCATGGAAAGTCAACTCAGTTCTTGTCTTTTGCCCCTAAATTCGTGGTTATTAACACCTGCCCAGCAAGCCTGGAGAAGAGATGGGTGGCTTTTAATGTCTGTTAGGGCTTTGTGCTCCTTGCTTAGATGGGCAGACCATCCTTTCGAGCAGCAGAAAACTGGTTGCACGGGTCTGCGCTGTGTCCTGAGCTTCTGTACATCACGACTTGATGTTTTGGGCAGGATTGTGTAGGAAAAAACCACCACTTTCAAAGGCTCCCAGTGACTAAAAGATGCTGACTGAAGGAAAAAGGTCTGTTAAAATTAAAAAGATCCTTGGCAGAAGACGTAAAGAAGTTAAGTTCCTTCGAGATTCTCAAATTAATAACCTACCTAATTAGTGAGAGCTGCTAGCAGAGGGAGGCAGTCCACCGATTTATTGCAGGGAGGGCGTGGTGGAAACTCTCCTCCCAAACCTGGTGATCTGCGGTCTCAAATTAACGACTCGCAGCACTTTTCAGATCCCAACCCTCTTTCAAGAACAATCAGCGCCGTCCGGAAAAGTTCCTGCGGGTCTCTTTTGCGGCGCACAACGGGCACCTCCGAGCGGTCGGGGGGACACCGGGGGAGCCACCGGCGGGCGGTGCCGCGGGGCCGCTTTGTGCTTCGTGCGCGACGGCAGCAGCGGGGCCTGGCACGCCTCAGCCCCGCCGGGAGCGCCGGACACCGGGAGGGGCGTGTCCGGGCCGAGTGGGGGCGTGTCCCGGTGGAACGGGGGCGTGTCCAGGGGCGTGTCCGGGCCGAGCGGGGGCGTGTCCCGGGCGTGTCTGAGGCGAGCAGGGGCGTGTCCGGGGCGAGGGGGGGCGTGTCCGGGGCGTGTCCCGCCGGGCCCAGGCGCCCGCCCGCCGCCGGCCCAGCCGGAGCGCGAGCCCCGCGCGGATCCCTGCGGCCGCCGCCGCTGCCGTTGGCGCGCGCGCGCCGGGAACAAAGTGGCCGCGGCGGGAGCGGAGCGCGGCGCGAGCGGGGCCGGCGGCTCGTGGGAGGCGGCGGCGCGGGAAGGGGAGGCAGCGGGGCCGGGAAGATGAACCGGAGTTTCAACAAATCTCAGACTCTGCGGTATCTGGAGTGCAGCGCGGTGGAAGTGAAGAGTAAGGTGAGCGGACCGCGGCGCGGCCTCGGCCGGGAGCGCCCCTGCCCGGTGGTGCTCCCGAAAATGAATGGAGCCCCCCGCCCCCTTCCCCCGTGTCTGCCCTCCCCGCCCGGTGCGGCCGGAGCCGAGCCCCAGGCTCAGCCCGCAGAGCGGGGACGGGCTGGCGGCGGCCGGCGGAGAGGCGGGATCGGCGCTCCGGGCGCAGCTCCCGGCGAGCCGCCCCTGCCCGGCCGAGGCGGCGGCGCGACCCTTCCCCGCCCGCCCCCGGCGCGGCGCCCGCCGCTCCCCGCTCCATCTTTTGTTTCGCCGCGGGGACTCCGGCGGTAACTTCGTGGGGCGGCTCGGGAAGCGCCGCCGGCCTCGCCTGGCGGGCGGGATGGGGCTCGGCCCGGGGGCACCGGGAGGAGCGGCGGCGGTGCCGCTCCCGCCCCCAGCGCTCCGACCGGCTCCCGGCTGGCGGGACGGGTGCCCCGACGCGTTCTGAGGAGAACGGGGAAGGAGAAGGGCCGGGTCCCCCCGCCGGTGCTGCCGTAGGTGCGAGCCGCAGGAGCCAGAGGGAGACCTGCGGGAATCCTCCCGCTCCTGCGGCGGCTGTGCCGGGATGCCGGCGCCCGCGTCAGCCTGTGCCCGCTGGTGGGGCTGGGGCAGGAGCCGGGATCGGCAGGGCTGCCGGAGCTGGCCGCCCTAAGGTTGGTGCCGGGGGGCTGTGCCTGATGTTGGTCGTGCTCAGCTCTGGTCGAGAGACTTCGGTCGCTCTCGGTTGAACCAGCACATCACAGTCTTGCCTCTGAGGACGAAAATAAGTAGCGTTTAGGCAAAACTGAGAAATCTCCTCGAAAGCCCGTGTTTTATACACATATTACAGGCAAGGTGTAAGTAATGCATAAGTTGAAAAGAGTATGGATAACGCTAACATTTCCCGGAGTCCCTGATCACCTGCTGAGGTGGTGTTGGAGGTGATGTCCTTGGGCCTATCTGCTTGGTGCTGCTCATTTTTTGTCCATTTTTGCTGTTAAAATTTGCGTTCACATCAAATGGCCTTGAGCAACACATGGAACAGAGATGGCTTCAGTGGCAGAAGTACCTTGTATCCAAGGGAGCCTCCAATCATTTCTAAACATGGCACCTGAAATGTGGGTTCAGGCCCTTATTTCCTAACCTGCTGTTGCTACTTGAAAGGGCTCAACTGGCCTAGAAAGTTCCATTCTGCTTCCATAGCTGGAAAGTTTTGGTTTAGTTTGTACTGGTTCTAAGATGTAACCCACCCACAGCATTCCTTGTGGTTCCCAAAAGCTCCAGATCCTGTCTTCTGAATTATACCCCTTACATTCTATGAGTGTTAAACTAAAGCCTTGACCACATAGAAGAATTTTTAAGTTCATCCTCTCTCTTCTACTTCAATGTTGCCATAGCTTGAGTTTGTTCTATTAACAATTAGAAGCAACCTTATAATAAAGAGCTCGTGGCTTCCCGTACAGCTGCAGGAATTCTGTAAGTGAATCCTACCTGGTTCTGTAGACACAGAGTGATGTACAGGGAGATTGTAAGCCTAGGAATGATTGAGGGTTTTTGGAGGGAAGGAAAATAAACTTACATGGGTAGGACTGAAGGCCTTCTGTAGCTCAGGGTTGTCACTGCTGGTGGCCCAGAAATTAGTATGGAGAGCTCTGCTGCATTGTAAGAAAACTTGAAATAGAAGTTAAATTGAAAATACCCTGTTGAGGGCCTAGACCCAGTGATGATCTGTAAACCTGCAGCGTGTGTCAGTGGAAGCTGTGCTGTTGAATTTCCTGGAGCTGGTGAGTTTTACTGTTAGCATGACTTGGGCACAGTAACATCTGGGCTGTTGATGTAGCAGGCTGTCGGTGCTGACATTGCAAGATACTTTTATTTTGCCTGTAAAGCTCACAGGCTCCCTCTCACAGAGTCACTCTTCAATAATCTGAAGGAGGTCCAGTGAAAAGCTCTGGCCAATGGTACCTGGCAAGGTGCTGTATAAAAACCTTATAACTCTTACAAAAACTCGGTGCTCTTGTAGGGTGGGTTATCATGCTGGCAGCCTTACCCCTGTGGATCACTGTGTTGTTGTGCTGTAATCATCTAGAAATACAGAGAGTTGAGGGTTTTTTGTCTGCATGGACTATCTGAGGCTGGGGGAACAAAATGGTTCAGTAATGCAACTTTTGGTAGCCCTACGTAGTCAACCTTTTAAACACTTAGTTGCTTGTGTTTTGTAAGTATGAGGCCTGCCTGGGCTTGCCTGAGAACTTGAAAGTTGAGTCTGAGAACTCATGATTTTGCAGCTATCGCCTGGGAGCACGGGCTGCCAGGTGAGCAGAGGTGGGTGCAGCTCAGCCTCTGCGCCAGGGCATGCTGCTGGCCCGGGATCAAGGGATTCTTGGTGGCTTTTCAAAGGCTGGGGAAGTGGCAGTCCGTGGGCAGGTGGAATCCCTTTCAGCAGAGGAGCTGAGTGTGAGAGAGTGCTGCTTTTACACAATGGTGTGAAATAGCTTTTCTCCTCTGAAGATTGAGTTTGATCAGAAGGAGCGCTGGGAAAAAAATGGTTGTGGGGTGTTGGATGGGAGATAGTTTGCAGATGCTGGGATTCTGATATCCCTGCCTCTGTTATGATAACCAGGTGGTTCCTTCCTTAAGGATAAACCAGCATCCTGCTGGCGTCTTGCATTAGTCACAATTCAAAAATGGCTCCTGTGAAATCTGATTTTTCTGGATTTTCTGAATTTCTTTCATTTTCTCCGAAAAACAAATTCTTGAAAGTCAGTTTGTGTCCTTGATTATTGAAAGGCGAGAGTTTGTCAGCGCTAAGTGCTATGCTGGGTAAGATACTTCTCTGGAAATCCCCAAGTATCCTTAAGTTATAAGGTTCTTGATGTGTGCCAGAGGGTTGTTAAAAACAAAGTGTGTGTGTATCTGTGTTGGAAGTGAGGAGTGGGGGAGGGAGGATGAGAAGGAGGAGAAAACATCTTGATGGCTGAACTCATTCCAGTTTTCAACATCCTTCTTGTGCCATTGGGCCAAAACCTGCGGGCAGTATTCCTCTTTTTTTGTCCAGTGGGCCTGTGAGGATTGTGGATGATTGGATTTCTGCGGGTCTGAGCCAGCCTGTAGCTTTGCTGAACCTAGCCTGACCCATCACCCCTGCTGGGAACATGGCCCAAAGCATGCTTCAGCTCACCATTCTTGTGTCCATGGATTTTTCATGTCTGTGCCTACGTGGGGGGGACGCTGGCAGTGATATATTCTCTGGCTCTGTCATTGCAGAAGGATGAGCTTTGTTGCACTGTCTTGTACCTTTTTGTGTGTGCCAGGTGACTGTAAGGTGCTACAAAAGCTTGATGGTTCTCTGTGCTGCAGCAAGTGCTGAAGGGGAAAACCCTCTGCCATCTGTGCACACCTCTGTTTCAGACACGGCAGCGGTGGAAATTGCTGCAGTCGTCTTCTTTAAGAAGTTCCCTTCTGTTCAGCTCCCAGCTTTTTCCCTTCCTCTGCTTCATCCTCAGAGAGCTGGCCTTAAAATCAAAACACTTAAAAGCTTATTGTTAGATAGAAAAGAAGAAGGGTAAAGAGAAACCTGCTTAGAAGTTGGCACATGTCATAAGAAAATATTAATTGAATTGTAATTATACCTTAGCCCTTCTATCCCATCTTTCATGACAAAATAAATTAGAAGCTCTGTTCTTATCTAGGTGTTGTCTCTGTAGCTCAGGATTAATGTTTCAGCCCTTTTAGACAGGATCTGAAAACACATTAGCTTGCTGGCTTAGAACAACTGTGTATTCTCATGTGTCCAGTACTCACTGGCTCCTTTTCTCTGTTGGGTGACAAGTGAAGTATCTGTCCCCTCTCAAGAAACTGCTTCTATCTCTGAAAAAGGTTTCCAGATGACCCTTTCTCTCCCCCTTTTTCCCTTTTACCAAGATCTCCAGTGCCTGCAATGTGTGGGGCTTTTTGTGTTTGTTTTGTTAGGGATCTTGTGGCCACAGGCAGAGTTCTTAACCTATTTTTCATTTTCTGTCTTTAGCTTTACGGAGAGGTTACAGGCTTCTTTGCCCATGAATATAAGCCTACAGAAGAACAAATGCTTTTAAAATAGGAATTCCTACATTAGTGGTGGAACTTCTCTTGAATTCTAACTCCATGTAGCCAATCTTCTTTTGTCTTGCTAAGAGTGAAAGGAGATTTTATTTTTTTCTTCCCTTGAATACTGTATGCAGTTTTTCAAATGGGAGGGTAACTACCAGCCCAAATGTGTATTTCTTTTCCAATCTCTTAGAAATTTTGGAGTAGTAGAAGTATAAGATTGCCCCAGGCCTTTAAATGATAGCACTTGGAATTGTTTGTGAAAGTGTGTGTTGTAGTTTGGTTTTTTTTTTTACTTTGAAACTGACAGGTCCATGTTTCTGGCTTAAAAGCAACAGAATACTGTTTTTCTGTTACTACTATATGAACTCCTGTGAACTGTATGTACTAGTAAGAACTAATTTTCATGATTTCAAAGTTGGCTAAATGTGCTCGTCGTTCCCTGATAAAAGTGCCTTGCAGAAGAACCCTTTGTTGTTGATGAGCCCTCTTGGACAATGGAACTTTTGATAGTGGCTGAGGATTGTCAAAGCACAGCTACCTGCCTCACGTGCTGACTGTCACATTGCTGCCTTACTAATAGTGTCATGTTTTCTTGCATTGCAAACTGATTTACAAATTAACAATAACGTGACTAACATCCTACTGCTATAAACAAACCCATTAAGATAAATAGAACCAGTTAATTGTAACCATATTTTTAATACTCTCTTTTCCTATCCTGTTTTGACTTTCACTAAATGTTGATGTTTAGATGGGCGCTGCAAATGGATTATTAATAAATTTCCAATAATTTTCTGTTGTGTCCTGAGTAGACATGATACTGTTACGGTGTCAAAGACAAAAAGCACGTTTGGGATCCCCTGTGCTCTGTGCTCGTGGGAAGTCACTCACAGCTGAAA